AGATTATCTGATATTTTAGACTACCCAAATTGTGATTTCCATTCATTAATGCAGACATCTTAGTTGACCGCATTTAGAAAATAATGTTCAAATAACAGACAAAAACAATTATGGAAACATTTCTTCCCATTACTCCCAAGGACAAACCTTATGAGATCATAGAATACTTGACCTAATTTAATCTGTGTGGCGGAACAACACAATCTGTATTTCCAGTTACCTTTATAATTGGCACTTGCTCAGAGGAACCCAGGGATGGACTGCACAGTTGTTCCTCTTTGCTCTGTTGCTCCACCCTGAGTCCCCGCTCTGCAAATTCAATCTGACTAGGTAATCAGTAGTCTAAAAGAACTGCCCTCAATCTTTATGAGGCCAAGGCTGTGTGCAAGTCCTGCACCTTGTCCACTGCCCCGCAGCTGAGCTGTGCTCTCCACCGTCATGCTTTAGATCACTGGAAAGCAGGGACCATTGCTGGCTTGCTCACCGCTGTCTCCCCACCATCAAGCCCAGTGCCGTGGTCACAGAGCAGGTACTCAGACATTTGCTACATGAATGAATAGAGCCTTAGATAATCTGAGGACAAAATAACTAAGCCTAATGGAAGCAGCACATGTCACAACACAGCACACTGAGTAAGCCTTTTTTTTTTTGGCTTTTTCATGGGTGACTATCTGGAAAAAAAATTCAACTGGAAATGAGTGCTGTCTGGAGCACGTCAGTGGCAGAACAGAACGTTCTGTCACAAAGGAAAAAACCCTCAGAATTCAGGACGTGTAGCTTGGAAGTGATGTGTGAAGTATTATTTCAATACACATTTATTCCCTTTCGTCTCTATTTCCCATTTCCGTTCTCCATCTCATCCTAATACACACTTGTTCTAATGTGCTAATATGCATCCTTTTGTTTACATAAGTTCTTAAAAACTGTATTGTTTGGTGAGCCAGTGTTTTTAATTTATGGTGTTACCATGGATCTCACTCTTTCTTACTCTGTGTGTACAGAACTGTTACAGAATATCCACACGACCTTGATGGAAAAAATACTCTGTTAATGGAAAATGTGAATGCTTCCTGTGAAGTCGTTGAGGGCAGGAAGTAAGGCATAAATAAAGTCAAAGCTGGTAAACATACCCAGGCTAACTTTAACAGGAAAGAAGGCTAATAAATCAGATGATAGCATTATGTCTTATCACGCGTATGTGCCTTTTACGTTACCATTTTATACCACAAATTAAATTTGGTTCAAATCTTCTGACCGCTCTGAAACAGATATATCCCTTGGGTTACCTAAGGATTTTCACAGTCTGAGTTAGTCACTTCATTTCTTAAAGGGAAGAAATCACATTACAACAAGGGAAACGACACAATAAGACAGGCTTTATAAACTGTTATGATGTTTACTTCTCTCTTAAATTATAAAGAGTCTACTATCCTTTGCTTGGTTTGATGTTTGATGGATAAACATAATGTATTGCAATACTTAGACATTTTAAAATGAATTCTTTAGGGATTTAGGCCTTATTTGAGTTTGCACGGTTTAAGATGCTTAATTGGAGACACGTGCCCTTTAAGCCCCAAACTTACTTTATCATGAGGCTTTGACCATCTATGGCTTCACCATCCCTTAAGTCGTACTTGCTTGTCAAGGAAAGGGAAATCTCAGTCTTTGAGAGTTGATTTAGTGTATTTGCCTTGTTAGGATCACTGGGGTCAATGGCTCCTTCCCCTGCAGAAAAAAACATTGTTATTTTCCCAATTCGCTCACTGGGATGGTGCATGAACAATGGAAGATGAAGGTTCTATGGGACAGATGGGTACAGTAGTTGGGCAGGAGATCATGGTCTTCATAAACAATCACACTCCAATATACTTAAAGTGGCTTTTAAAATCTTTGATTTAAACATTAAAATAACTAAATGGGGCATAGATATTTAAAATAGGAAAAAATTAGGGCCGGCCGAGTGGCTCAGTTGGTTAAGAGCTCGCTCAAGAGTTTGAGCTCTGAGCAATAGCAGTTTGATTCCCGGCCCAAGCTAAGCAGCCGCTGAGCTGACAACAGGTGGCAGGATGGCTCAGCTTAAAAAAAAATTAAAATAAATAAAATAAAATAAGAAAAAATTACTAAAAGAGAGAACTATTAAAATCCTTAGAGGGC